CACTCCACTCCACTCCACTCCACTCCACTCCACTCCACTCCACTCCATTCTTTCTTATTCTATTCTATTCTATTCTACTCACTCCACTCCATTCTTTCTTATTCTACTCTACTCTACTCCACTCCATTCTTTCTTATTCTACTCTACTCCACTCCACTCCATTCTTTCTTATTCTACTCCACTCCACTCCATTCTTTTTCTACTCTACTCTACTCCACTCCACTCCAATCTTTCATATTCTATTCTATTCTGTTCTGTTCCTGTTTCTATTCATTGACTCTGCTTGTCAGGAGGTTGCAAAAGTTGGCCACATGACCCCTTCCCCAAGGAAACAACCAACAGTCATAAATATGAGCCAGCTGCCAAGTGGCTGAATTTTGATCATGAGACCATGGGGATACTGCAGTGGTCGTAAGTGTGAAAAATAGTCGCTTTTTTCAGTGCCGTTGTAACTTTGAACGGCCACTGAAATGAACTGTTGTAAGTCGAGGACTGCCTGTACAGTCCAATCCCAACTGAATTTTGCTAACCTCTTACAGTGGCCGAGGAATGGACCGGTGAATAAAAGTTCAGGAAAATTAGGGGAAGCCGGGTCAGCGGAGTCCAGGAGTAGCTCCCTTGTAGTAACTGTGCTCTCTCTCTATAAATTACTCCTCTCAGGAATCCTTGGAGACCCTTCGGTGCAGTGAATACCTCTACATTCAGAGAGAGGCATAAAAAGCAAATGCTACAGTGCGTCTGCTTTGAATTAGGGTGATGAAAGACAAAATTTAAAAAAGTAAAAACCTTTAAATGCAGGGTGACTCAGATCCTAAGACGTTTCTTTCTTCAACAAGAACTCTTCCAGAAGAGAAGAAATGCTTTGGATCTTATACAGGGAGTCCGAGACTTACAACAGTTCATTTAGTAGTACCGTTCAAAGTTACGATGGCACTGAAAAAATAACTGATGACCTATTTTCACACTTACGGCCACTGAAGCATTCCCGTGGTCGTGTGATCAAAATTCCAATGCTTAACAACTGACTCATATTTATGACAGTTGCAGTGTCCCGGGATCACCTGATCCCCTTTTGTGACCTACTGACAAGCAAAGTCAATGGGAAGCCAGATTCACTTAACAACCGGGTGACTAACTTATCAACTGCAGTGATTCACTTATCAACTGAGACAAGAAAGGTTGTAAAATGGGGCAAAACTGACTTAGCACCTGTCTCACCTAGCAACATAAATCTTGGGCTCAACTGTGGTCATAAGTCAAGGACTACCTGTAAGAGGAGCTTTGGACTAGATCGGGGGTCTCCAAACTTGGCAACTTTAAGACTTGTGGACTTCAACTCCTAGAATTCAACTTTAAGACTTGTGGACTTCAACTCCAGAATTCCTCCAAAGCTGGCTGAAGAATTCTGGGAGTTGAAGTCCACAAGTTTTAATGTTGCCAAGGTTGGAGATCCCTGGAATAGCTAGAACATCTAGTCAACGGCAACCAAAATATTGCTTCCTAACTTCTTGCAGGTATCTTCATGTCAGAGCAGGTCAACTATTAAATACAGTCCACTGTGTGGATGGCATATCACAGCAGCAGCAGAGCCTGCAAGAGAATGGTGTAGGCACAGGTGTGTGTGCACAGGTGTAAGCCAGATCTACAGTTCTCTGAGCCTTGGGTGAAAGGGCTTTTAGAGCAATAGCAGACTGCAGGTCCTGGGGGATAAAACCAGCAGTTGTGGGGAGAAATGGAATCAGTTGCAGCTTCTGCCACCTCTCGGCTCATCTCCATTGTTGTGTAATTGTCACACAATGTACCACTTGAAGTCAAATGAACTAACACACAATTTCCGTTATTTTTACCTTGACTCTTCTATTTGCAAGTAAAAAAAAAAAAGAATGATATATTCAGAATGTCATTTCTGAAAGTGCACCTAGGCTTCAAAGAAAATGCTTGATATCTCTATTATGCTGGAACACCAAGAGCAATTTGGTGAGCAACATAACATCATAAAGCACTTACAAAGAACTTAAGAAATGCTTGCAAATACATAAAAGTGTGAGAAAGCATTAATTCACAATCTTCACAGAAAACATGATTGTTTCTGTTTTTAAGAAGGGGAGTCAGGAAGTTATAGGGAAAGAAGAAAAATGAAAGAAAATGGCACGTTCCATTAATAAGCATTTTTACCAAAAATCACTAGCTACATAACATTTTATATGCAATATATGTGGGTCAAATGAATGCTGTTGGTCTATTTTAAGTATTTAACTTGCTACCTCTTAAAATGTATATACCATCAAGGATTGACATTAGCTAACAACATAATCAAACGCAAATAACATAATTCAAATGTCCCAGAAAAAAAAAGGAATAGAAAAAAGGAAAAAAAAATCAGAAAATAAAATACAAGCTGAATAGTCAAGACCTTATTGATGATCCAAGCTCTGTAAAGGACCTTGGAATACTCATCTCTAATGACCTAAGTGCTAGAGCCCACTGTAACTACATAGCCAAAAAGGCGTTAAGAGTTGTTAACCTAATCCCACGTAGCTTTTTCTCTGGTAATATCACACTACTAATGAGAGCATACAAAACATTTGCTAGACCAATACTCGAATACAGCTCATCAGTCTGGAACCCACATTACGTATCTGATATTAGCACAGTTGAGAAAGTCCAGAAATATTTCACAAGAGTTCTCCACTCCTGTACTCGTTACAGAATACCTTATGCCACCAGACTTGAAATTCTAGACCTAGAAAACCTTGAATTACGCCATCTTTGGTCTGATCTAAGTATGGTATATAAAATCATACATTGCAATGACTTACCTGTCAATGAATAGTTCAGCTTCAACCATAACAACACAAGAGCAAACAATAGATACAAACTCAAGGTTAATCGCACCAAACTTGATTTAAGGAAATACGACTTCAGCAACAGAGTGGCCAATGTCTGGAATACTCAACCTGACTCTGTGGGTTTCTTCCCCAAACCCCAAAAACTTTAACCTTAGACTGTCTACTATTGACCTCACCCCTTTCCTCAGAGGTCTGTAGGGGGGTGCATAAGCGCACCAACGTGCCTACCGTCCCTGTCCTATTGTTTCTTTTATTTTTCTTATATGTACCCATTTCATGTATTCATAACTATATATATACTTATATCTATTATCTTGTAAGCAATTGACAAATCAAATAAATAAAATAAAAAATAAAACAAAACACCGACCCCAGTAATAACAAAGACTCACATTATTAAAGACTATACAAAAGGTGACTCTTCCAACATTTTATTTATAATTTTTATGCGGTATGTAAAATAACATTTTGCATAACCCCTTAGACTTCTACATTAAAAATAGGAAATATTAATTGAATTATGTTATATTTCTCTTAAAAATAGTAGTAGTAATATAATACTGTATATATTTAGATGTATAGGTTGCTCAAATTCCAATCTATTCCATATTGCCCTTGACATGTTCAAAACTTTTTAAGAACAGCTGCCAATAATAGCACTCACTTTCTTGTCTTGAAATTTCTACAAGCTGGAATCTAAACTGAGTTTAGATTTTCTGTAAATTTCCCCTCCAGACAGGTTTTTCAGGAAGATACAATGGGAGGAAAAGTGCAGGAAAGTCCCTTCTGCTAGTAAACACAATTCTTTTAAAAGCCTCCTGCACTTTACTTTGATTACTTTTAATAATCAGATAGCTCTACTTTTTTTAAAAAAAAAATGGATACTTTTATTGGACAATGCAACGCACATCTCCTGAAGTAACGCCTAGGCTATAGGGTAGTCCAGGCTATAGGGAAGTTGAATGGATTTACAGTTTTGTAGGATCCAGCCTTTATCTTCATATAGTGTGTGAGAAAACATTGTTAAATCATAATAGAAATTATTCATTTGGGCAAAGCATATGAAGGGAGCACCATCATTCTGTCCTAATCACTTAGGGTTAAGCATGCTGCGTGAATTAACTGCATTAAGAGCCTTGGTAGCGAAGTGCTTAGAATGCAACATTGCAGGCTAACTCTGTTCACACTTCCAGGAGTTCAATTCTTTCCATCCTGACCAGCTCAAGGTTGACAATGAGTCAGCCTTTCATCTATGGAACCATGGACTGTACGTGGTTAAAATGCAGGACTGCAGGCTAATTCTGCTGACTGCCAGGGGTTCGATCCTGACTGTCTCAGGGTTGACTCAGCCTTCCATCCTTCCGAGGTTGGTAAAATGAGGACCAGATTGTTGGGGGCAAGAGGCTGACTCTGTAAACTGCTTAAGAGAGGGCTGCAAAGCACTATGAAGCGGTATATAAATTTAAGTGCTATTGCTATTGGTCTGTTAGTCAACATTTGATTGAGAGCATCAAGGAGGCTGCCAGTTCCTCTGACACGTTTCAAGCAAACTTTCCTATGCAGCTGATTACTTCTTCTTCCTATTCCTAAATATTCTTGGGTGCTTTCTAATTTCCACAAAGTGGCTTCTCTCTTCCAGGAGACTCAACAGCAAAATATTAATCAGATTACAAAGTTTTATTCCAGTTGAGATGTTTAAGAAACAAAATTAAAAATAAAGGAAGGAAAATTAATCATTTGTACGCTGGACCTACAACTAGAAATATGTACATTTGTGAATGCAGTGGAAATTTGCCCTCAGATGCTGAAGACAATTCCTTTCTAGTTTGGGAGCATGAGCTTAAAGGCTCTCATTTATTACTTTTAAGAGAACAAGTTGCACATGACCAAATATAGGTAGGGAGTACAGGCAGTTCTCAAATTACCACATTATGAAGCCTACCCATTGCGGTTGAAACACGTGACAGACGTAAAACAGGTCAATTACATTTTACATTTCTGTGGTGGTCATTAAGCAAATCACAGCAGGGCTTAATGGTTCCCTATGGTGTGATTTTGCCGAAAATCAGAAGCAAATGCCGGGTTTCGGCAAAAACATCGTGAAATGTGATCACATGCCTGTGGGATGCTGCAAATAGCCATAAATGCAGTCATGTTGCTGAGCGCCTGAAGTGTGGTCATGTGTCTCGGGGGGGGGGGGAAATCATTGTAAATTTGATTCTGGGTTGTGAGTACCTTCTAGGTAGGTCTGTCAGAACAGTTGCTAAGTGACCGGTTGTAAATCAAGGGCTAGTTGTGTGGCTGTATAGTTGGATTAAGGATGATAAAGGAGTAGTTTTTTCTTTCTTTCTTCCAGCTTGTCTCTGGAAGATCTGACATCACCTTTTAAACCATGCTCCCCATTTCAGGCTGAAGAGGAAAATACGGATAGGCAGGCTTGATCCTTGTTTTCAACACAATGTGTCTGAGCCTCAGTGTTGCCTGGATTAGGGCTTTACGATAAAGAAGAATATTGACAAGTGGTTATCCCTTAAAAACTGCACCTGAAACAGACATTCGCAGCCAGATTAGCCTTGCTGGCTAATTGGGCTCCTTTCCTGGGCTCAGTGTGCTTCTGAGCATTGCTGGTCACTGGGAAAACAGGAGGCCTGTTGGGAACCAAACGTGGCTCATGAGATGCAGTTAATGAAGCTGCCTGCCCATTGTGGAACCACCATTTGAGGCCTTTTTCTAATGATTTTGGTAAGCGCCGACTGCTGGCCTGCCCATTTCAGAAGCATGCCATGCTGTGTACAAGGGAGGTTGCTGGTGTTCTAGTTTCTAAAATGGGCAAAGCAGGAAGTTTGTTTTCCAAGCCCTTCTGGATAGGAAAGACTGGTGTGCAGGAAAGGCATTTCACCTGCACTCTGAGGTGCTACTACAGTACAAACCTGGATTCTGGCTGGCTGGTAATTTGCAGGTAGTCCTTGACCGTTGTGACTGTTCAAAATTATGGCGGATTCCCCCCCCAAAGTACTTCCGAAATGGCAATGGCCATGGGCCCCCGTAGTCACATGACCACATTTCAGGCGTTCAACAACCAGCCCACATTCACATGGCCATGATTCGTAACATTTTTGCCCAATTCAGGTTTTACTTGTGGTTTTCAGCAAAAACACACATGTCAATTCACTTACGAGCATGGCAGTTGCGTAATGCTTGCCACATATGCTGAAGTGCCGCCAAAAGGTCATAAAAACTGTCATGTTGTGAGCCAGTTTTACGACAGTCACAACATATGACTGTAATGGGCAAACTTCACTATGGTCATAAGTTGAGGACTACCTGCACTACAAAGATCGAATCAATTACCAGACCTCTTGCAGTCTTGAGCCCGGCTTTGGTAACCAGAAGTGTGGTTAGTTCACAATAAAAGTCTCGACTACCAACCGAAACTAGCAGCAACTCATTTCTGTAGGGCTGCAAAAAGGCTGTGGATGCTTGTTTGTTCCTGAGAAAGCTTGTCAGCTTGGTATCAGTGCAGCTGGCAACTCCCTGGCCTGTAGACTTAGGCTGCTTTCAGAGACCCCCAACGTGGCAACTTTAAGACTTGTGGACTTCAACTCCCAGAATTCTCCAGCCAGCATAGCTGAAGCATAGTTGAAGTCCACAAGTCTTACAGTTGCCAAGTTTGGAGACCTCTGTCATAGACTTTCCCTTCAGCTGATGGGTGTGATGGTGTTCTCGGACAGAATAGGACCACTTGGGGTGACCAACTCAGTGCAGCCAACTTGCAGTGGGACCACTCATCAATTCAATTTACGTATTTAAAATAATTTAAAAGTAATATTAGTTTTGCCATTCACATTTCACTCTGTGCCTCCTTTTTCCTCCTTTAAGATTCTACTCCACCATTGCTTCAATATCAGTGTAACTCTTGTCCCATGGTGAGCTTTCCCACAGCAAGTTGGCTGCGCTGAGTTGGCCACAAGTTGGCTGTACTAACTTGTTCCTCCTCCAAAATGATAGCTGTACTAGAAAGAAACTCTTTGTTGCTGCCCAAAGCTTATTTTTATTTTTACAATCACATCCATTTTCTTGAGACTTTACAAAAATAGTTCTCTAAGAAGAAAGTTTTACTTTTTTTCACCTAAGTGCTTTGGAGCTAGAAAGCAAAGTTATAAAGATTACGTAAAAAGCAGGACATAAACTGGAGCCAAGCTTGGAGGGAGAGTCTACAAGTCTTTCTCATTAGCAGAATTTCAGGAGAGAAAAATAAAAGATTGTTTAATATCACCTTCACAGCATCTAACAGTTGCCTTGAATAGCATTTTCCCGAGCTGTGCCACGTGGGTCGATTTAAAATTGGTGAAACCTGGAAAGAAAAAGAAAAAAAGCAAGGCTGTAATAATTAAAAGCACAATGTCCACAACTGAAACACTCCAGCCATTTTGCAGAGATATATCCAGTATAATGAAAGAGCATTTGCTTCTGAAAAGAAACTAAAAAATATATGAAAACTGCTGGGGAATATGTGTAAGTTGTAGCATTAACTATTTAAATAGGTAAGTGGCAATTCTCTGCCTGTTCCGCTTAACATTTTTACTACCTATTATTTGTTTATTATGTTTATATGGCCGCCCACCTCACAAGAAATAACTCTGGGTGGAGTATAGCTAAACAAGTATATAAACAATGAACATATCATACAGTCAGCGAGAACTTTAGATAGCTCCATTATCAATCGCATCTTTTCTTTCTCTCCCTCTCTCACACACACACACATACACACACACAACCATACATGGGGATGTGTGTGGATTTGATTGACAATGGAATTATCTGAAGTTCTCACTGAGCCCCTGAGATCCCAGGTCAGCCAGGTCTTCAGGGACCTCCAGAAAATAAGGAGAGCGCTACCCTGACCTTTGGGGGGCTGGGGAATGTTCCATAAGGCAAACACCGCTGCAGAGAAGAGCCACCTCGCCACCAGCCCCTCCCCTTGAGGACTTCCCTGGGGGTGGGACCTGTCGCATGTCTCTCTTGATAGATCTGATGGTAGAGGGTCCTTCAAATAACCTGCCCCCCCCCACAGACAGCACAACTTTTTCAAACTTAATATTATCTACTTGTCAAATATATTAGATACCGGTAGTCCTCGACTTACGACCGCAATTGAGCCCAACATTTATGTTGCTAAGTGAAACATGTGAGTTATGCTCCGTTTTCTGACTTAATAATTGTTAAGTGAATCACTGCAGTCGTTTAGTTAATATGAACCCAGCCTCGTGCTGGCATCTCTACCCCTGCTCCTGCGATATGGGATGAAAGGGATGAAAGATTACCATCCTTTTACTATTCTGTCCTCTATAATTACTGACTGAATATATAAAGGCAGATAGATAATTCCATAAAGGCATCCATACAAAGTCTTTTTATTGGTTCATCAGGCATCCTCAAGATAACTCACAGTTATGTTGAGATTCATCTCAATGTCCAATTCTCTGCATAGCTGCACTTTATGGTGTAAAAAGATGGTAATCTTTCATCCCAATAATGATATAGCAAACGGTGAGGCACCAGCATGCTGCTGGGGTCCAAGCAAGAGTGGAGAAACCTCCCCCAACTCACCAAGGGTCAATTCAGTGACCAATCAGGATTACAGATGTGGCCACATGACATGAGCTACATTTCCCAGGATACCTTAACTACATTTACCATGATGCATTCCCTTAAGGGGACAGCTCCCAATTCCTAACTAACTATCCCAAATCCCATTACCTATATACTGGCTGGACAGCACAACCATTGTTAAATGAATCTGACTTCCCTATTAACTTTGCTAACAGGAAAGTCAAAAAAGAGGACTGCGTGACTCCGGGACACTGCCACCGTCATAAATGTGAATCAATTGCCAAATGACTGGATTTTGATCACATGACCCTGGAGATGCTACAATGGTTGTTAAGTGTGAAACCTGGTCATAAGCCACTTTTTTCAGTGCCGTTGTAACTTTGAATGGTCACTGAACGAATTGTAATTCTAATTCTGATTTCCAGGACATTTATAGTACAGGTGTTCCTCAGCTTACAACCATCCATTTAGTGACCGTTCAACGTTACAATGGCCCTGAAAAAAAGGCAGCCAGTCTTTCCATTTCGGATTGTTGCAGCATTCCCAGGGTCATGTGATCCAAAGTCGGGCGCTCTTTGGCAGCCAGCACGTATTCGTGACCTTCCCAGTGTCCCAGGGTCATGTGATCACGGTCCGTAATCTTTCCGGCCGGCTCCTGTCAAGCACAGTCAATGGGGAAGCTGCATTCACACACGTCATTCAGCAACTGCAGCAATTTGCTGTAACAAGCATGGCAAAAAAGGGTCATCAAAGTAGGTGCGACTTGGTCAACAACCTCCCTGCTTCGTTATGGAAATTCTGGTGCCAACTGCGGTTGTAAATCAAGGACCAGCTGTATACTTTTCCATAAATTTATATAGGCTCAGGTGCCTGAATTCCAATTCTCAGTTAGATCTTTTGATTTAAAAATCAGACTATTTCCTTCAAGGGCATTCGGTCCTTAGGCTCTCTGCTCCATTTAGCTGCCCCAACTCCACTCCGGTGCAAGAGATTGTGGTCATTAAAAGAAAGAAAATGCCATTATACTATGGTAAAAGTTATTTCTTTTTATTTAAAAATAAAAAACTGCAAACAAAAATTATGCAGGCTTAAACTGAGTCCCTTTATAATCAGAGCTGGATTGCCAACATTTCAAGACTAAATATCAGACACAAGCATAATTGGTTCTTCCAATATTTTCAAGCACTGAATTCTGTTAAACATTACTTATATTATTTCCAAAGAGCCTTGTTTTTAATCTGAAGAAGCCCACACTATTTTATTCTGTGTTCTAAGACAAGATCTTTAAATAGGATGATGCACAATAAGCAAGGAGTGAAACAATGTGCTACATCTACCACCATACCAGGAGGTTGTTTTTTTTTTTTGAGACTTTCACTTTTAAAACATAAACAAGGCTACATTACTCTTTCCTTTGATCTCACTCTTCCATCTCCTTTAAAAATAAAATTAAATAAAAAAATAATTAAATGGAAGACCAGAATATAAGGTTTAACCATCCTCTTTGTTTCCTAGGAAGCTCTTGGGACCCACAAAGGCATTCTTGGAAAATAAAAGAGATGGGTATGCCTGCAGCATAGTAAATCACACCTGTATTGGTTTACAGCCAAGAAAGCTAGCTGGAGGCTTGGTAATGCTATCTTTGTGGCTGCTTGAGAGAACCTTGGCTCACCTATCTTATTTACAGCTTGCCAATCAACATTTTTACAGGACAGTTATGACATACAACTCATTCTCTTACCCGCTAACACCCATAATTTCATACAGAAGAAATTTCAATTGTTCCACATGGACTGCTGAACAGATTACAATTGGCTGGATTCACATAACATGTTAAGCCATAAAACCTGGCTTAACTAAGTCAAGCTTGGTTTCACACAATAATTTAAATGAACATCAGACATATCAGTAGTCCAAAATACTACAGTCAGTGATTGCTGAGAAAATTATCAGAAAACTCTTTAAAAGTGATGAGATTGTTATTTGAACATATAAGAATGATAGATCAACGATGTTAAAGTTATAATCTTGGCTTCAAATCTTTCAAATATTACATCTTTATCATAATCTAGGAATTTACTTATTGTACTTTCTTATTTGGTTATTTATGTTTTGTCCGTTATTTGACTTACAATAAACTGAGCTCAGTCCAAATTATTTATGCCTGTAGGTAACAGCCATAAATAATGATAAGTGCCAACCATAAGGAGAGAGCAAGCATGCTCTTCCATATGAAATCACATACAAATTGGCACATTTTATAACCTCATCTCATTCTGCATCAGTACTATCAATACATTCTATATTTGTATCTTTTAATACAGAATGTATAGCCTGAGATATTTATATAACCCTAGATAACTACGGATTAAGATTAATTTTCCCTTTGCAAAATTAAAAGGGATTTTGCTAATGAGTGAGGAATTCATTACACAAAATGCAGAAAGTGATACGCCTTCTTAGTTCCCTACTTACTGCATTACTGGTTCAAATAACATCCAGTCTGACAAGCAAGGCCACAGAGCCCAAAACAGCCTATTCGAAGACTAATTAGTTCAACTTCATTTTTTGGGGCAACTCTTCCAAGGCTACCAATTACTTGCTTTAATAATGATTTTTGGAAGAGCCAAAATGCACAATACATTTTATATTCTAAAATATATATATATTTTTTTTTAATACAATGCCCGCATGCTTTAAAGCAAGGTGCCAAGGTGCTTTATTTACAGCAATGCTTTGGGGTCGGCCAGGCTTCTACCTGGACAGCAGAAAGCACCTTGGAAAGCTAGCTGATTCAGCAAATCAGGAAGGAGCTATTTATAAAGGCTAAGGACTGCATTTAACAGTGGAGGCTGGCCTGACAGTCAAGAATTGGCCGGGGCTGCATCAGGTGGTCCTTAATTTTTGTGATATGCTACTTTTAAACTACAGTTTTTAGTTACATTCCATCTCATAAAAGTGGGAAATTTATAGCTTCAAAATTTGGCACGGGGGCTGAGGGCAAACTGAGCCACCATGTCTGGAAGCAATTACTGAGCCTTATCTGGAATATTCAGGTACCTCTGGGTGAATATTGTGCACCTGTGATCAAAATTTATTTGTTTCGGTTTTTGCTAAATGCAGTATCTAATTTAGCATGATTACAAATCCTGGTTTTGAAGAACCATATGTGAGTTCAACAGAGTACAGACATTTCTGGGTATTCCCCTAAAGTAATGTTGCTATGCTGATAATCATCTGTATTCAAGTTTGCCTATTTGGTAGGTTCAAAATTGGTGTATTTATTGCAAATTCTAATACACAATTTCCCCCCCAGAATACTGAACACTAACAACCCCCAATTACAATTACACAGACCCATTAAATTTTTGCTTTAAAAAAGGAGAAGGGAGAGACCCATAGATCGATTATGTTCCACCAAATCACCAGTCACTGCCTGCAATCAAGATACTGAGATTCCCCCTGCAGCCAATACTGCCAAATGCATGTAAGCCTGAGATGGTTTAAAGGGGAATAAGTAACTTGGTTTATTCCTATTCTTTCAGCCAACTGCCCTCTTCCACAACTATTAGGAACTAGCTTGACACCCGTGCTTTGCTACGAAACTATGTGGTCGGCCTTAGCTTTTGGGGAGGAAAATAAGGGGGGGAAATTCTGCCTTTGTCTACGAGCATCCATCGGTATTCATCTGGCTAGCGTCTTGTCAGTGTGTTTGGAAACTGAAAGAGTATTTGTGAGCAAGAAGGAGACAGCAAGGAGCCTGGGCATAGCTTAGCTCAATTGTTCTGTACTAAAGCTGCCTGGTGCTTTGAAAATAAAACTGAAACTCCTCTCCACTGCTTGTGTTTTGCATTTGGAACAGATTTCCTCTCAGGTGGGGAGGGGGAGTAGAAATCCTTAGCATCAGAGCATGTTAATAATAATATAGGAAATACTCTAAATGCTCTGGTGGTCATTTCGAAAAATCCTTTCTTAGTGAGCCCCTAGAAGCCAAGAGGAACATACGTGCCAAATTTCAAGTTTGTAGGCTTTAAGAAATAGCACAGAATAACAGATTGAAAGGGACTTTGGATATCTTCCTCCAAGGGGGCCTTGCAGATCATTGGCTGCCTATTCTTGCCATGTACTGATTTTATAAACCACACAGCTTGGTGCAAACAACATGCTAAGCTAATACCAGATAAACCTTATTTTAACGTAATAAAGGAGTTCTTAAACTGGAGGTTGTGATCTTGAAAGGTCTGAAGGAAAGCTGTTTTGAGCTTGTACATAAAAACAGAATTATTGTCAGAATTTGCTCCTGTTTTGTCTGGATATATCAATACCAAAGTCAACAAAACTTAGCAACCATATGACTGCAAGGAATTCCATTCTCCACTATTCAGTCAGAACTGAAGAAGTTTTTGAGTGAGATTTCCAGTTTGAAGGGCTTCGGCGACAGACAGAAATCCGTGATCGTGCGCGGTTTCTGTCTGGGCTCGCCGCTGGAGCGCCCCGAGCCGGCTGGTTTCGGGGCTAAACCACCCCGTAGAGGTGGTGAAGAGGGGGGAGACCGCCAGCAGGATTGAGGAGAGCCGCATCTCTCCTCCTCAGCTGGCCATTACTCCCTTTCCCGAAGGCGGTTGCAGCGGTGGTCAGAAATGGCCACCACAAAGAAGAACTCG